CGTTTCACATTTCCGAACCAGACAGAATGTTTCCAAAAGGATTTATCCAATAAACAAAAAATAATGATAATAATAATAATAATGATAAATGAGTATCTTGTCTCACAATTTCCATTAAAACTCAACTAGTACGGTTTCTTTTGCACGAGAGCAACAAAAAAATGTAACACTAAAGATAACGATTAATCCTTACAAATGAATATTTATACATTACTGAATTAATTTATATACATTATTCTATGTGTTCACAAATTAATATTTACAATCATTTTCTACTTGCATTATGGCCCTTATAATGACGATTAGGGATGAGCGTGGGTCGGTGAACCGTACAAAAATTCGGAGATCCCAAAATTTGATCTCTAAAATCGTACCAAAAAGTCGGTTCGGTTTGGTTCGGAGATTATTATTTTTCGGTTCGGTATTCATGTAGCGCCCCGTTCGAATATTAGATTTTTTATGAGTTTATTTTAATTAATGGTATTTTATTTTAATATTTATATATACCTTGATTATGTGATTATATATTTTATTATTATACGGATACTATAATTTTATATGTAGCTCGGTCGATGTTATTTTATCAATCGTCGTTTGAATTTTCGGTTTAATCGCGTAAGCCGAATTGTTGTTCGTTTGAATTCGTTTTAGAACCGTTGCGACCCGAACATCAAAACGAATCAACAAGACATTAAGACTATTACATTACCATCTCTTTAACAGTATTTATCCATAAAAACCGAATTAGAAGAGGAAAAATTGATTGTAGTCAAATTTTTCGGTTTTCAATTATTGTTGGATTTTAAGTCTGATTTCGGTTCCGTAAAATTTATTTTCTTCTCAATCCTTTTAGTAGGCATCAAAACCAAAGTTAATAAGTTTGGTTCAGCCATTTTAAGTACCAAAACCGAATCCATACTCATGCATGAGTTAGAGAACCATGTTACTCTCTTTTGGCATCATGTGTTGGTAAAATATTAGTTTTAGGTTTAGATGGGATTTAGATCTTATGTCCCCTCTTATCATGTTCTTGTGTTTCATTCCTTAGCTGTATTAGATCATTAAAAACCTGAATAACTTGAGAAAATAGAGAAAATTGGATTTCAAGCAAGATAGGGAGAGAAGTAGAAGAACCGAGCAACACTTCTTTCATTTCTCCACATTTTCGTTTTCTTGAAGGAGGTAAGGTTCCTCTGTTATAACTTCAAGCAATTGTTTTCTGAAAATTTTTTCTTCATGTGAAATATAGTTCGTCTTGTTAGCTTTCTCTAGCCTTTGGAATTTCATGAATCCGAGTTATATCGAGTGAGTTATGATTTTTATAAAACGAGTGCGCAAGCAGTTTTTTTGGAACCGGCAGCATGAGTCTATATAATGTTTGGCATGTTTATGGTATCATAGTGCGATCTAGTAAATTTGTAGTCTTCATAAAAGTTATAGTTCTGTTGATTAGCTTTCTAATGAGATAGGATTCATGCTGAGGTGATATCTATAGCTCGAATTGTGTTCATATAATTGTAGATATACATGAAGTAGGGTTTTACACTTTGACAGAAAACTGATTTTAAATGTTAGTAGATTTTACACCAAAAGACCTTATCTGCTTTAGTGTTCTAAATGAAAGTTGTAGGGCTATCTCTTAGCTTTCTAAGCATATAAGAATCATGTAATTTAGAGGTCTGTAGCATGATTAAGAGGATAAATACCGAGGTACTGTTTATATCAAATTTTAGTCTTTGGCAGATTTGTTGAATCAAATGTTTTGTGTCCAAACTCATTTATAAAGTGATTATTTGCAAAAGTGGTCTTCAGAAAAGTTGTAGACATTTGAGTTAGCTATCACATGGTTTTTGAATCTCATTAATAACATGTCTGTAGCTCCAGTTATCTAGTAAATACTGAAGTCTGGTCGGTTACAAGTTCTCAATTTTTTTTTACTGCAACTCAATTTTGAATGTTTGATGATTTATTTCCTAGTACACGACCTTATTTGCTTTCGGTGTCATAAGAACTATAGATGCATGTCTTAGAATTCCAGTGCAACTTGAATCATATTCATCCGAGTCTTGTACTGAAAGTTATGTTGATTTCAAAAACGCTGCTCGGGTTAAGTTTTGAAAAAAAAAAAAAAAAACGTACGTGGTATTTTTTGGAAATGGAATTTCCTTGATTAAATGCTTATGTGAGCTTAGTTGGACTAAGTGATTGTTATGATTAGTTGTTCATGTGTTGAATAGTCATTTATAGGACTATTTTAATAAATGTAGGTGCTTGACGAGCCGAGCTCGCCGCCTACCCGTTATTGTTGTGCTTTCGCTTGTTATCGTCCAGGTGGGTTTACTTATAAAGTTGTCTATGCCATACATGTTGATTAATGTTTAGTTGGTATGACCAATGTATGAATGTGAACCATGTGGTTTACCGATGTGAGTTGTTACGGCCGTCGGTACGGTTGTCCCCGTCGAGTTACGGTACGGTTGCCCTTGCGAGGCAAGTCTCCTTAAGACCTAATGAAAGGTCGTGTCCGTTACAGTGGCACGCACTCCCATCGTTAGGGTTTTTGCATCCCCTTTTCGCGGCTAATGATAGATGTGCACATGAGTGAGTTATTATTGTGATTATTAGGAGATGAGACATGATGATGATTGATTATATTCATGCTGCGACCATACCATCTTTACATGTTATTATGTGCATAGTAGTGAGCACTACTTTATCATTTGTTTTCATTCCCACCTGCTGTTCACGAATGCAGGTTAAGCAGCTGGCGGGTGACGAAGTGAGACGAGTGGGTGGTCCCTAGTTATTTTATTGCTTCCGTATTATGATGAACTATGCTGAGACTTGTTGAAAATCCATTTCGAACTTAATGTTTTGGTTTATGTTGGATTTGAATTACTCATGATGTTTGGATTTATGAAATTCCAATTTATGCATGCTTTACGATTAAAGCTGAGTATTATGTTATGTGCTGAGAAACGGTTAATGAAAACCATTTGTGAAAAATCAGGTTTATGAATCCCCGTGGGTCCAGATAAGACTTGGACTAAGTAAATTGTTGTTTAACACCCATGAATTTTTGAAAATGTTTTCGAAAATTGTTTACTTGATTTTTGGAAAGCCCGGGATTTCATTGAAATCAAAGTGGGGTGTTACAGTATGGTATAAGAGCCAATCTGCGTTTCTGTAGACTGGTTTATATGTGATTATGTGATTTTGACCTTGTGTTGACCACTCGTCTTCGTCATGCCGCTCTACCTTAAGGTATGTTTTATTTAAGTACTAATGAGAATACTTGCATTATGAATTGCGCAGTCTTGTAGCAATAAAACTACTCGAATTGTGACTTCTTGTTAATCTTGGGGCTAGGAACTATCCACCTTTACATTTGAACTCTATTATTTAATTAGCGAACTCTAGCTTCCCTTATTATTGTTGTGCTAAACCTTTCGGCCTATTCAATGTAGAACTATGGTTCGTCAACCCCGTAACAACCACAACAACGGGAAACTAACCCCACCTCCATCTCCGCCTCCATCTCCTCATCATCACCAGGCCCCTCCGGTCATGGACCTTACGCGGCTCATAGTTCAGTTTCAGAGAATGAATGCACGCCTTTCTCGGGGACTGAGAACCCCACTGCGGTATTGGAATAGATCAAGGAGCTGGATAAGATTTTCGCTATGCTCCCTCTCCCAGACCGACAACATGTATCTCTCGCAGCTTACCAGATGAAGGAGGACGCTTCCGACTGGTGGATTGACCACTGGGCTCGGAGGCCAGAGGCGGAGCTTAATGCTCTCACTTGGGAGCAGATGAAGGTGATGGTGCGCGACATGTTCCTTCCCCAGAGTTTTTGGGATCAGATGGAGCATGAGTTCTACCATCTGCAGCAGGG